TAAATTCAAGAGGGTAGGTCGATATTTAAGCTCTATCTATGTGTCCCTTATTTCCACATAATACTAATATATTGAATTTTATTTTTCAGTATCATATTGAAAAGTGAAACCCTCCCCTCCAATACCCTCCCCAAAACGTATGAACTCTAATTAAAAATAGTGATAGGTAAATTCAACAAATAGTAAATGATGTCAAAAATTAATAAGTTCTATTAAAAAGGTGANGTATGAACTCTAATTAAAAATAGTGATAGGTAAATTCAACAAATAGTAAATGATGTCAAAAATTAATAAGTTCTATTAAAAAGGTGATATACATACTCCAAAAGTTAGTAAATGATAAGCTACTGTAAGTAGTCAATCCTTTATTGGCAATTTTTTTTTTAACAAAACAAACAGGTAACCATTTTATTAAGTAGGAAAATTGAGTTTATAATTAGTCAAAAGAAAAGTCGTAAGTTGGGGAGGGAGCCTAACTAATTCAGCGGAAGTAAATTGTTTAACATAGTGACCGCTACCCACTGAACAGTCTTGTTACATGTTTTAGACTTGTGTAAAAAGTTAAGGTTGAATAACTTAACATAATATTTAATGTCTTCAATGTTAACACTAATTTTCCCCGGAGGAACATCATCGTTGCAGCTAAGCTTTATGATATTGAGACAATCATTCATGATATTGACATTTGTGATCAGCCATGCTTCGGCAAGGAGGCATGCTTGTCTCACTGCCTCTGTTTCAGAGAGCAAGTAAGACACTGTTGGGAAAGATTTTGCACTACCAAACTCGAATTCTCCCCTTTCCTTGCATATCACCACTCCAGATGTAGCCTTAGCAGGAGCTGGCTTGAAAGCTCCATCGCAAAAGATACGGATCCCTGCCTCAGACTCTTGTGACCTCCTCCCTCGCCTCTGGTACCTTCTGTCCCTTCAGTATTCCCACGTCTCCAATTTTGAGTTGGTCCTTCCACATGACTTGTGCACGAATGACAGTGACATTAACTTTTGCCTCTTCCATATTAAATATAAACTGGTTCCTTACCTTCCAAATAACCCATCCCACAGTAGCCATTTTTCCCGTAATTTCGAGTCTGCCTTGAGCATGCTTAACCATTTGTAGGAGTATAGAAGTTCTTTGGGCCACTGACACCAATGATGAATCGTCCCGTTGTATGTTAAGATCCATTCCAAACCAAACTCTCTTGATCCATTCTCATTCAAACAGGATATGTTCAATTGACTCCGGAGCTAACGTACAAATCTGGCAGTAAGACGTTGAAGCACACCTCCTCTTAAACAGATTTTCCTGTGTAGCAAGGATATTATGACAAGCTTTCCACTAAAAATGTCTAACCATTGATACTGCCTTCATATTCCAAATGGTCTGCCACAGCTTGGGATGAAGGAAAACAGAAGAGCTAACCTCCGACAGACCTGGCAAACTTACTGTAAGGGGTAGAAATCGCTACGGATCTCATCCCTCCACTTGAAGGATTTCGGCTTGACCTGGGTTAACCCACGCGGGCGACCCCCCAGTAGCCTTTACCTCTCTTCGCCAATAGGACCCTTTCCTAAGGCAATCCCACATCGGAAGAGAGTCGTCTTCCCCCCTCGCATATAAGCCCTTGCACTCAAAGGAGGAGGTACCCACTAGCGACCTGATCAGGTGCCTAGTGGGTACCTCCTCCTTTGAGTGCAAGGGCTTATATGCGAGGGGGGAAGACGACTCTCTTCCGATGTGGGATTGCCTTAGGAAAGGGTCCTATTGGCGAAGAGAGGTAAAGGCTACTGGGGGGTCGCCCGCGTGGGTTAACCCAGGTCAAGCCGAAATCCTGAGTGGAGGGTTCTACCCCTTACACTTACATCTCAACCTGTATCAAGACCTAACAGTGGAATCTCCTTTGCTATTGGACCACCAAATTCTCTTACCCTTACTCCACCCTCGAAATAACACTACTCAGACTAGAGGTTTTCCGTCCTTTAGGGTTCTCCATAATGATATCCACAACCTTGGTGATGGAGCACTCTTGGGGTTTTGTAGATTGAACTGCCAGACTTGGGAGAAAGGGAGATCCATTTATCATCCCAAAAACATACTTCATTACTATCTCCTATGTGTCACATGAGTCATTTCCACAACAGTGTATTCTGGTCTGGTCGAGCCCATACTGTTTTTGTGGTTGTTTAAATTTTTGAGAAGCAATTAATGCTACATAAAGTTAATAAATTGCTATTGTATTCTTGATTTAATTCATTTTTGTTATCATCAAATAACATAAAACACCATTTACTGTTAAGTCACATTATTAACTAAATGAACAAAATCAATTAAATATGTTCAAATTAAATTAGTGAATTAAGTTTGAATAATATTATAATTTTAGATCTCTACGTCTCAACTCATGCAAACAACCAAAATGATGCAATCTAATTGTGGGTAATGGTTGCATTTTTTTTTATATTCAATTTCTTCTTTTTTTAGTTTAATACTATGGTACCCATAAAAAAATATGGATACCATATATTCATTACCGTTGCTATTGGTTACCGCAAGTTTTTTTTTTTTTTTTTTTTTTTTTTTTTATTTTTTTTAAAAACTAAAATAAAAAAAAATTTTT